CAAATTTAATAAGCATTCCCTCTATTCCTTCATCCAAATCATTGATAAAGATGTTGAACAAAACAGGTCCCAGGACAGATCCTTGAGGCACTCCACTTGTCACTCCTGTCCAAGAGGATGAGGAACCATTAACAAGCACTCTTTGGGTGTGATCTGTCAACCAGTTACAGATCCACCTAACAGTCATAGGATCCAAACCACATTTTACCAATTTGTCAACAAGTATATTATGTGGAACCTGAACAAGTTCCTGAACATGAGGTTGTCCTTACAACAGACGCTTCACTCTTCGGTTGCGGCACCCACTGTGAAGGATTGTCTGCTTGGAGTACTTGTTTAGAAGATGAGAAGCTGCTGCACATTAATATTTTAGAGAAGAAGAAGAGATTGGATTTATACCCCACCCTTCACTACCCAAAGGAGTCTCAGAGTGGTTTACAAACTCCTTTCCCTTCCCCTCCCCCTCCCCACAACAGACACCTGTGAGGTAGGTGGGGCTGAGAGAGCTCTGACAGAGACTGCTCTTTTCAAGAACAGCTGTGCCAGAACTACGGCTTGTCCAAGGTCATCCAGCAGGTGCAAGTGGAGGAGTGGGGAATCAAACCTGGTTCTCCCAGATTAGAGTCCGCGCACTTAACCACTACACCAAACTGGCTCTCAAGCAATTTGGTATGCCCTTAGTTGTTCTTCAGATATCCTTCAGAACCGATCCATCCTTGTCCAAATGGACAATACAGTTACAGTGTTTTATTTAAACAAGCAAGGAGGTACAGGTTCCAGAGGTCTATGTCAGGAGGCTACTCTAGCATGAGAGATGGCACTGAAGCTCAGTGCTTCCATTCAAGCTATCCACATCCCTGGGAGTTTAAACACAGAAGCCAACAGGTTGAGCAGGGTTGGCACACTCCGTCACGAATGGTCCATAAAGACCACTTACGTGGAACAGATTTTTACCCTCTAGGCGGTTCCAGACATTGATCTATTTGCAATGAGAGAGAAAAAGAAGGCTGCAAAGTTTTGATCCTGAGAAGGAGTAGGCATTGGTTCCCTAGTGGATGTGTTTCAGCTGCATTGGCAGCAAGCCCTTTTTTATGCATTCCCTCCATTCCCGCTCCTTATCAGAGTCTTAGAGAAAGCCAGAAAGGAGAAATCAAACATGATGCTGGTAGGACCCTTTTGGCCTCACAAAAAATGATTTCTGGTCCTTCTAGAGATCTCCCAGGACCAGTTTCTCCCCCTGCCAAATCAACCAGATTTAATCAGCATCAACCAGGTGTTTCATCACTATGCCTCAGCCTGATGGAAGCTTCAGACCTGATACTTTTGCAGGAGGTTAACGATGTTCTCCTGCAGTCATGCAAGCCTAACACTAGGAAATCCTATATGTGTAAGTGGAGGCAAATGTAATGGGAAGGACATGTCTCCAGGTAGTGCCCCACTGCAGGTAATGTTTGAATATTTATTGCACCTGAAGACTAAGGGTCTGGTGTTTTCCTCTTTGAAAGTCCCGGGCGGGGGGGGGGGGGCATGGTGGCTGTCCTTCTGGTCAGCTGCACCTCTCCTGCAACTCTCACACTCTCCTGCTATCCCCAGTGGAAAACAACGTTTTGCTCTTCAACGAACAAGGTAATTTTGTAAAAACTTTCAATGCTAGGCATGGAAAGAACCAGAGGAAAAAACCCACCTTATAAACCGCCAAGGAAAGACTTTGCTCACTTGGAATAATCAGAACATTTCTTTGCTGGAAGAAATGGCGGCAGCAGGAGGAAAGTTAGACCAAAGCTACCAGGCTCCGATTACACAGGCACTAACAGAAAGAATCCGCATTTCAAATTGCCAGAAAAGCGGCTGATAATTTGTCGGAGTTACAAAAATTTGAAAAGTGGGCTAAGAACAAAATCATTCTTCAGGAGACCAGGTTAAGAGAAAGAAAAGTGAAACTCCATGGAGTTTTCTCAAACTTCTGCGTGACAGGAAATCTTAAAGAGGAATTAAACAAATGGCTCCTGCAGACTCTTTCGATCGGTGGAAGATAATCACCTTGGCCTTCCAAATCAACATCTCAAAAAGAGCCCCTGAAGGCTTCGCAAGACATAATTGTGGAGTTCAAGGAACTACAGACTAGAAACAAACCTTTTAAAATAGCATGAGAAAAACAAGGACTGGCCCTTGAAGATACGTGTGTTTTTGTATGCTAATGTTATTCCAGAAGTGCTTATCGCAAGACAAAGACTATGTGAAACAGCAAAGACATTGAGAGAAAAAGAGATTCCCTACAGATGGTTAGCGCTCGGCCACCTGGTTTTGTACTGGTGGTCAATTTAAATAATAAAACATTCACAGCACATAATGAGATGGGGGGGGGAATTAGTGGAAGCTGTTATCAAACTGAAGGAAGAAGGCATTTGAAGGGAACAATGTGGTCTGGCATTGATATTTAGGTTATAGTGTGACTATGAAAAAATAACTGAAAGTTGGGTTTATTAGTATAAGAGTAGACTTGGATTCCTAATATGATTAAGCAGAATATTATACAAGTGTTAAATGTTAGATTAGTGCACTAAGTGTTAGATTAGGGTATAGCAAGGAGGTGAAGACTGTGCCCCCCTCCCAAGACCTCCGAATTTAGGGGGGGGTTCCTCCTGCTGTAGAGATCTTCTCTATAGCGCCCATAATTGGAGGCAAACCCTTTCAACTTTTCTTATCAGGAACAGAAGAAGATGGATAGTAGTAGTAACTGATATAGGAATGAACTGAAGATTATGGAATGTATCATGGTTAATTATAAGTTTTGGGGAAAGTTGTATGAGGACCCAATAAACGGATAAGATAGGGGCATAAGAAAAGAGGAGGAATTAAATGAGATTAAAAAGGAGTAGGTTGATGAAATAGTAACCTCAGGAGTTTTTCTCTCTCTTTTTTTGTTTGGTTATTACTGGTGTTAAAAAGCAGATCAACATGATGGGTAATGATTTGTGTGTATGTAGATTGGATATACTCAATAAAAAATATGATATCAAAGAAAGTTCACCTGGCTGCTGTCTCTTGCTGTCTCAAGGAAACTGAGGTGTGATGGGTCATCTCCCACCATTTATCCAAGAGGTTTCTTAAAGGGCTAGGTAATCTTTGCCTGCCCTGGAATCCTTTAGTGCCCCAATGGTCTCTATCAGTTGTGTTAGCACAGTTTATGCTGAAGCCCTTTAAACCCCTTGCTACATGTTCTTTGGCAGAGCTTTCTATGAAGGTGTGTTTCTTAGTGGCTGTTACTTCAGCCTGGAGAGTGAGTACTCTTCAAATTGATCCTCTGTTTTTGCAGACATATTTTTGGCAGACATGACATTGGCAGACATATTTTTCCCCGAGAGGGTAGTCCTTTGCCCTAGCCTTAGGTTTCTCCCTAAGTTAGTTTCCAGGTTCCATTTATCCTAGGATATAATTTTACCCATGTTCTTTCCTTTACTGAGCTCTGAAAATGAGAACTCATTGCATTCTTTAGACATTAGAAGGATGCTATTATTTTACCTCAAGAGAACGCTGGAGTTCCACTGGGAAAGAGCCCTCTTTATCTGCTTTAGTGGCCCTAACTGTCAGACCCTTGAGTTAATCCACTCTAAGTCTAATAGTCTTTTATGAAAGATCAAGGGTTAGGTATTGTAGGCAAACGGTCAGTGTCCCATAATGTAATAGTCATGCAGTGGGCATTCATTCTCTCCCCTCTTTCGCTCCCCCCCCCTTCATACTATATAGCACTACAAAGTTTATCATTCAGCAACAGATGTTTTCTCCAAGGATGAGAGACTCTCTAACGGGCCAGACACCTTGAGGCCGTTCTCATGGGAAAGTTGTTACAAGCAAGCTAATCTAATTTTTACAACACATACACACAGATATATTGCATTCACACTTACCCCTCCCATCCCTCGGAATTTATGGCAGAGAGGGCTAGAAAGAGATGAGACCAAATGGTCGAAGTGGCCCAAAAGTGAAAGTAAACTACAAAGGCGGAAACAACTGAAACAAATGAAGACATTAGTCAACATGACAATCAGCGGAGCCCGATTCTGACACTAGCAGAGGTAGGAGAGCATCATCTCAGACCCTGTCCCGATGGATTGTCAGGGCCATTAGAGAGTGCTATTGTCGGGCCAGGTTACCATGTCCTTTAAACATTCATGCCCATTCCACTAGGGTTCTAGTAGGCTTCTTCAGCAGCTTTCCTGGATGGAGTGCTGTTGACGGGGATCTGCAGAGCTGCCACCTGGTCGTTGGCAGACATATTCATGCATCACTAAACAATGGACCTGCAGGTGAGACGAGAGGCTCAAGTGGGCAAGGCAAGTACTTCAATCACTGTTCAAATAAGGAGAGCATGCCCCACCTCCTGGTAAGTAGCTTGCTAGAATCCCCATGTGGGACTGCACAGAAGATCGATGATGAAAACAAAGTTGCATCTACCTGTAACTATTGTTCATTGAGTATCTTCTGTGTAGGCACACATACCCTCCCTCCTGCCCCACTGCATGCTCTTGCTTTGGCAGCGCTAGAGGTACTGAGAGTGGGGGTGTTGCTGTGCAGGAGTATGTGGTCCCTGGAGAGGAACAAGCTTCTGGCTCTGACGTGCAGCACCCCCTGGGAGCTTTTAGCTATAAAGACCTATTTGATGGCAGGCCTGCTCATGTGCAGTCCCCATGTGTGCCTTCACAGAAGATACTCGATGAACAATAGTTACAGCCAGGTAAGTACGACTTTGTTTTCTCATAACCACACATGGCATTCTGGCTATTATGTCACATCAGCTATTGTAAATCATTTATTTAGTCAGTCCCTTTATATGCCACCTTTTTCAAAAATGCTATATGATTTATATGGCATAAGTTATTTAATGGCCCTAAATCTGTTGTACTGATATGACCAAATGAATATAAAATAAATCCATTCACATGGTGATACATATTAATCCTGCTTCAGATGATTAATTCCTTAATATATTTTATTTTTAGGTGCTTTCAGTTAGGATCGATGACTTAGAACAGCTCCCAGAGACCACAACAGTGGACGCTTCTTCTATAGGGATTGTACAGGTAAAATTGATCTGAGTCAAATGTGATTTTTTTATACAACATCCTGTTCCTTCTCCTGTATGTTTTAGACATTTTAACAGTGTAAAAAAGGGATAAGAACTGGATTTCTTTTATTAATTTATTAAATATTTATTAAAATAAGTATTTCTCATTTTTGTGATTGAAGAGATACCTTTGAACCTATAATATCAAAAGCATTGCTTATAGCTTTTGTGCCATATAGAATGCCCACCAATGGCAAGCAGTTTTGCCATTGAACAGCTGCTGAACAACGTAAAAGCATATCCATAACTCATAGGATCAATCAGATCTTTTAAAATTTTTCTGGCGCACTTTGCATATGTCAGTTACAATACCCAAAGGATTATAATCCATTCACACCACACCACTTCCTGGAAGATCATTTCAGTCTGTCCTTTATGAGATCAGTATGTTTGTGAAAGTATTCAATGTGTTCATCTCCCAGGTCATCATAAGAACTGTAGCCTGAACATTTCTTTATTTCCAATAGTCCAGTAAGCCAACAGTCTTGGACAACGTAAATCACTCTAATACCATCCTCTGGTTCCACCCTTGCATTAAATCCACTGCAGCCAAAATTTTTGCCACAGCCAGCATTATAACAAAATCTGTATTAGGTAGCAGAGAAGCCATGGAAGTGGAAGAAGCACCAGAAATAATTATTGGCTGAATCCAGAGAGGTCACCAACACACAGTCAAAAAAGATACGAGCTAAAGAGTTTGGATATTTTGCTACAGAATGCTGTTTCTCATGGTCGCCTAGGAGCAATGGGCATGATGGGTTCTTCCAGAAAACTGACTTCTAGGTGGAGTTCAATGTGACATTGCTAAAGTCATGGCTTGTCCTCTTGTTTGTTGTGCTCTGAACGTAGTTAATTTTTTTCCAGGATATATTGACTTTATCATGAGGTAATGCTTCAACAACTTTGTGGCAGCAAACGAAAAAAAGAAAGTACACTTTGTGGTTCCTTTGCTGATATAAATAATTCACAGTGCCAGCATATTTTTACATGGAGACATAATAACTCTAAGCTGACCAGATCAGTGATATCGTATGTTATTGAAAACTCTGTCCATGCAGCCAGATCTGTCTCTGGAACAGGGAGAGCTACCAGAGGGCAAGCATATGAAGACTCATAAACGTGGCCATAAACGAAAGCATAAACCAGGGGAAGAAGAGGAAGTCCAAGTGCCTGAGGACTCTGCCTTCAGCGAATATACAGAAAAAGAAGTGGAATTCACAGGAAACGTAGGGGATGAGACCAATTCAGCTGTGCAAAGCATTCAGCAGGTAAGTGCCATTTACAAAGGGATTGGGAGAGATGATAAGTTCAAAACGGACTGCTGGAACTATTAAAAGATTCTAACGAGTGTATGGAGCTTGCTTTGGGCTGTTGATGTGAACTTGTGTAATGCCCATCATTATGCTGAATGGAGGACAGCAAGGGATCCATAAAAGTCATGCCGTGTCTGAATGCAAGTTCCCTCTCAGTAGCTAAATTCATTCCCGTGTGAGAAAATAATTGCCTGCATTTTGTGAACATCCACTAGGGAGGGGCAGATTTGCTTCCTGTTGTTGATCCCAGTGACTCTGGCATTGTGGGGAGGGTGGTGGGAAAACCTTTGCCCCCATCCTTCCAGAATCTCATACGTAGCAACATTTTCTTCTACAAAAGTCAAAGCAGTTATTAGCTATGAAATCAGGCTTGCCCCTGCCTTTGCATAGCTGTATTATCCACACAGATCTGCCAGCCTCTAGGTCCAGTGACCCAGGGCTCTTGATAAGACAGTGAAACCTAATGTTCATCCCATCACTTACCCTTTAATTCCAGCTTTATTTGAAATTATGCTGCTTTATTTGCCGGTTTCCATTTATAAGGAATGATGAGGTAAATTACAATTAATAGTATCCTCTATTGCTACAATGATGCTTTTAGTTTTATGTAGTGGATCTTGATTAGGTTCATGGAATACTATCTAGACTCTTTCATATTATTGCGAGTCTTACCTTTTACAGGAAATGTACTAAACTGAATCAATAATTCTACATAGATTGTTTATGACATCTCCATCAATGGTGAACAGCCTTTATAGGTCACAGTTCCCATGAAAATTCACATTCAATCTACAATTTATAAATAAATGTATTAAGCACAGTGATCAAGAAAGACTTCTAACCCTCTGGAACAATAATAGATATTTTATAAAGGTCAAAGGAAAAATTTTCTTTAATCATATTAATCTCCTATTTGCATAACATAGCTTTGACTCTATTCTATTTTAATTTTTGAGCTTCCTTCTTCCTTATGAGACAGTAATTCCCTTTATGCCATCCACGGGCAAAAATATAGTCAAGGCTGTGTGTCACCCATAGTTCATTCTTTTGTCCTGATTATTTGCTAATTAAAGCAATTTTTAAAATTTCAATTGTCTTTGTCCTCAGGTGGTGGTGACCCTTGGCGATCCAAATGTCACAGCACCTTCTAGCTCTGTTGGTCTGACCAATATTAGCGTCACTCCCATTACCACTCCAGCGGGGACTCAGTTTACAAACCTACAACCTGTGGCTGTAGGCCATCTTGCGACTCCTGAACGCCAATTACAACTAGACAATTCCATTCTCACAGTGACATTTGATACAGTCACTGGTTCTGCCATGCTTCATGGCAACCGTCAAAATGATATCCAAATACAGTCGCAGCCTGAAGCAACAAACCCTCAGTCAGTGGCTCACTTTATAAACCTAACAACTTTGGTGAACTCCATTGCTCCCTTAGGGAGCCAGATATCAGAACAGCATCCCTTGACGTGGAGAACAGTGCCTCAAACAGATGTCCTGCAGACTCAAACCCAACCAGCACAACCACAGACAGGGCAGCAGCAGGTTCCAACAGAACAGCAGCAGCAGATGTACAGCTACTAATTTGTACGTGAAAGAAGATTCCAAACTGTGAATTGGCTTGTATGAGCCCAGAGGCACTTAGCAGAATCAATTGCTGGATACCGAACCGAAGTGGAAGGAACGAGCGTAAACAATGACATATAAGCTGGTGTTGACACATCAGTTTGACATACAGTGGCCTTGAGAGTCTCCTGTTCTACAGACACCACCCCTGTTCATACAGAAGGTGGTTAGCCAGCCTGTATTGGTTGGTTTGGAGTGCTGAGGTCTCACAGGGGGATTGTAATACCTTTGATAAACAAGGTAGAGAAATAAGAAAAAGAAAATACAGCTGCAACAGATTCAAAAATCTTAAACCAAACAGGTTTAAGTATAAAAGTCACAGTGAGCTAGGATTCACTAGCCTGGCTACAGGATGTAAGAGCATAGTTGAGCAGAAATAAACGCTTTGCTTTTTCTAGCTTAGACAGTCCTGTATTTAATGGAAAAAAATAAGTGGGTGGCAGTAGGGTGGGAATTGTCTGTGATGTGAAATGTACTTCATTTAATTAATTGTTTCCATTATGGTGAAAGAGAGATGCTTCTCTTTAAGTAAGTCAGTTGGGGGGACCTCAGCTGAAACAAGTAGCCAGTCTGATATTAGAGCAGCATTTATGGTCTTATAATAAAAATTAAAACTTGCTTCAAGCTTATGGTGGATGAAACTCCTATAAAGTGATAGACTTATTCCCAGAACTCTTTTTTGAATAAAATTACATTTAGTTAATAGGCCTGCAGAGCAGTACTTCCCACTGAAACTGAGTTTGCTAGTTGGCTGTGAATTCACCATTTAGTCTTCTTCTATCATGTAACAAACACATATTTGAATAAACACATTTTCCCCTTTGCACACTCTGTGATCTTGGTGGATATTTGCAAATTAAGGGATATTTTCTAATTACTTCTCAAATATTTTAATTTTTCCACCTTTAATAACTGATGCATAGATTGTGCTCAAAAAAAAATTGAAACTTTACAGCAGTATAGGTGCCAACAATAATGTACCATCTATTGAATGTCATGGTGACCACAAGGAGGCAGCCTGAGCTAGTGCATGCTAAGCACAGAAGGGAGAAGGCAGTAGATCCTTTGCTACCTGTCTAGACTGAAGTTGGCATTTCTGCAGCCAAATGAATGTACCTGCCATACCTTGTGTTAAGTTCTGTTTGTATGAAACAACAATGATTTGTGCCCTCAAAAAACAAAGGAAAACAGCCCAGCAGTTGCTAATGAAGAATGAATTAAAAAGTTCATTTTGCCTCTGCATTTGTGAATGATTTTTCCTAGCCAAGAGATGAAGAACTTAGTATGTTTGAAAATTGTGTATCCTTTTGCCTAGTAAATTTCTTCACAAATTGACTCACAGTTACACCTGTTGTGAATATTTACAAGAACCTCTTTTTGGCCTCGCATACCAGTGAATGCTGTGAAATTGTAAAACAAACAAAAATATATGATCAGTAATGAGTTAAACTGAAAATTGTATTTTGCAATATTGCCATTTAAATTCCTTTCCTGTTTCAGTGTTCCCTCCATATTTCCTCCATTCTCTATTTTCTAACCATTACACAAGGACAAAAGCTTCACAGGGAGACAACGACTATGCAGCATCCTTGACTTGCCTTGATATCAGCTGCTTATCTGGCCTCAGAAGCTGGAACTTTGTTTAAGATTAGTCCCCAGCTGGAACTTTGTTTAAGATTAGTCCCCAAGCTTTCATTATATCCGAGGCTCCCTGACTTCTTTTTTTATCACTGCTGCCTGTTGGAGAGAAGAAGACGAAGAAGAGGAGATTGGGTTTATACCCCGCCCTTCACTACCCAAAGGTGTCTCAGAGCGGCTTACAAACTCCTTTCCCTTCCCCTCCCCACAACAGACACCCTGTGAGGTGGGTGGGGCTGAGAGAACTCTGACACAAACTGCTCTTTTTCAAGGACAGCTGTGCCAGAGCTTGTGACCGACCCAAGGTCACATCAGCAGGTGCATGTGGAGGAGTGGGGAATCAAACCCGGTTCTCCCAGATTAGAGTCCGCGCGCTTAACCACTACACCAAACTGGCTCACCAGAGAGACTCCCACTGTCATTCTCCTCCCCTGGGATGTCCTTTCCAAACCAATGGCCCAGCCTCTCTGGTTGCTGCCTCATCAAATTCTTCCTATCTGATTAGATCATGCCATGTTTGAAAGGGAGGTAGAGTGCTCGTTACATTATTGAGTCATAATAAGACATTAACCCCCAGATCTGTTGGTTATAACCTCATTAAAAGGTGCATCATACAATACTATTTATATAGCACTTTTTGTAACTGATATACTAAATAATACAACACACACACACCCCGTAAGGTAGATCACTACTACCTTTCCTATGTGTTGATGAGTCTAACACTATCCAGGGAACTTGTGCCTGATAGATATTTGAACCAGGTGGCTTCACAGGGCCCTGACCTGGATGGCCCAGGCCACCCCAGTCTCATCAGGTCTCGGAAGCTAACCATGGTCAGTCCTCGTTAGTTCATGGATGGGAGACCACCAAGGAAATTCAGGGTCACTACGTGGAGGCAGGCAATGGCAAACCACTCTTTATTAATATTATTATTTATTTAAATTTGTACCCTGCCCTCCCCGCCATGGCAGGCTCAGGGCGGCTCACACAATAAACGCACACTAACAATAAACATCTAAAAACAATCCTTCAAGCAATTAATTAATGATTCATTAAAATCTTCTGTTCATCTCTCCCCTTGAAAACCCTATGGGGTCACCATAAGTCAGCTGCAACCTCTCGGTGCTTTCTACCAGCACCAGCTTCATAGCTCACAATTCATCTTTTAAATCACCATGCCTATTCAGAACATAACTGCCGTAAACTAGTCCAATTTTAATATACAACGGACTGGAAATAAAGCCTCTTGTTCTCACAAATGAACATTCCCCAAGGTGTGCATAGTCCTGTTTGGTAATCCAGTCATCTGTACTGCCCTGCTGATTGGAATCTTATCACACCCTTTCTTCTCCAGATTTCTGCATGGGTAGAAGTGAGGTTCAGTTCTATTACTTACTTGGCATGATAATACAGATAATCAGATTATTAAATGGAGCTCAGTTTTGTCAGACACTGAAGTTACTCAAGGCTATCCCTTACAGTTGTTTTCCAGTTTTTGAGTGCAATTCCTGTAATAGTTATCAGCAGGGGAAGGGCTGAATGCTTGAACAAGGCAGAAAAATAATTAGAAATACATCCATTGTGACCATTAAAATCTGTTCTTTGGCACAATATAATGGATTTAATAAACATATAGTACAGTATAGTATAGCAGATAGTACAGAAAATGAATAAATATGCAATATTATGTATTATGTTCTGTGGCTCTTGGCAAGCACAGGTCTGAAGCAAGCAATGCAGGAAAGGTGTCAAGTATTCTCACACAGGTGCAGGTGTTTCCTAACGCACTGACTAGGTATGTCATGACTGAGAGGTACCCCCCTGCCAGTCACTTCAGAACAAGAGCAGCTCTTTTGCCTCCCCAGGGCCCTCCCTTTCGTTTTGACCTGTTAGTCCCCAGGGTTTGTGGACATCCATCAAAGCCCTGTGGGCCAACGCCTTATTTTCTCTTCCCTACAGTTAGGGAACATCATAAAGTTTCAGTCGAGAGAGGCTCATTACTGTCAGTACCACACATATTTTTATGTGCATTATTATGGTATTTTTACAGCTAAATAATTTGCTTTTATTCTTTATCTTAAAACTTAGGTAGCAAGTTACTTCTCTGAAAGTTACCACATATTTTTATTCCGCTCTTCCTCTAAGGAGTTCAGGGTGATACACATGGTTCTCCTCTCCTGTTTTTCCCTCTCAACAACTCTGTGAGGTGAGGTTAGGCTGAGAAAGAGAGAGAGATTGATTGCCCCCAAGGTCATCCAAGGAGCTTCATCGATGAGTGGGAATCTGAACCTAGATGTCCCCATTATTAATGTGATGCTCCAGATTATTTATTATTATCCAGATGAGGACAAGGCAAGAGATGGCCACTTGTCAAATATAAAACTTAGGTAAGGTCGTGCTTAGGCTGCACTTTTGAAAGAGTTTGCAACAAGATAAATCCTGCACCCAACAATACAGAATTCTGTACCTTTCATTGTATCAACAAAGCAAATTTGATTTCTTTTTCATATTTTCTATCATTCATATTACTTTGCATAACTTCTGCCTAGTTCTAATGGCAATGGTAGAATTTTGTCTGGGGTATACTGCTTCAGACTCTCTGGTGACTTGAGAGTGAAGATTTCCTCATATCAAAGAAATCCCTACACAAAGAAAGTAAAAGTGTTCTAAACTAGGGGTTTTTGTTTGTTTTAAATGTGGAGGGAGCTTATTATGGCAGAGCATTTAGTTATGTGAGCTCTCACCAGAAGTAATAGAGGTCAGAACTACACCATAATATTATGAAATGTGTGTTTACAAGCATAATTTAGTTAGACAAGGGACCCTCCAATGACTAGAAGCCTTATTGAGTCATTCTTCTGGTATCTGAGATTTCAGGGAAGCATTGTCCACACACTTGGCAAGGATACCTTAACTAAATTTAAATATGATTGATACTGATTAGTGTCTGATCTACCAAGACCAGAAGAAAATAGTCTGGTTTCTTCCTTCTTTCATTGCAGATATCTATACCAGTGGTTTCCTGGGGTCTGGGCATCCCTAAATGCCACAGGGTTATTACAAGAGGCCTGCAAATCCATATGTGCACTAAGCATCATTTTGATCACTTTATTTATTTATTAGATTTATTAATCACCCCATCCCAGTGTATGCTGGTCTCTGGGCGATGTACAGGACATAATATCATAAAATACAAAACACAAAACATTAAAATTTATATATAACATTAATAAAAATTTCAGTATCGATCAAAAGATCCAGATAGTGATTTTCCTGTATTATTGAGTCCTGGTTCCAGACTACCAGTTCTTTTTTTCTGGGCAGGGGGAAGGGGGCTCAGAACATGGAGGGAAGAAGAAAGAAGGAAGGGTGCCAGCCAATGGGTAACCATTGCTGCCCTCAACCAATTTTGTCATTATGCACTTTCTCAGACCATGGATACAGCTACTATCATGTGGGGATAGTAGTTATTTGCAACATTGGTTGATGTTATTTGCAACATTGGTTGATGTTAAAAAGGGTCCTTCTACTCAGAAAGGTTGGGAAGTACTGATCCAAATGACATGCCTTCTTGTTTAAGATCCAGCTACTTGTACAGAGCTAACAAAGGCAACAGCAATATGTAA